GATTTTAAAAGATTGCCAACTTGGAAATAAGCTCTGCTGAATGTCATGAGATCTTCTTCCAAATAAATATGAATAGAACAAAGCAGTCAAAAGCTGGGTTTAACAGTTGCCTGCCCCTAGACTTTGTACTGAGGCAAATTATAGATGTGATTGATTTGAATGAATGGAGTTTTGAATTGCACAAGCATATTCTTCCAGTGCTACTACCTGACCCTCCCATTTCCACTTCTACTACTCAAAACTCCACTCTTCCTCTAGCCCTGCTGTCTGTCACATCTAAAGAAGACCTCTGAGCTGTAACCACATCATTTCTGTATTAATTGCTGGGCTAGAGCTGTTGCCAATTGACTTTATGGATCGTGGTGCTATGCTCTGAAAAACAGCCTGCTGCACTTAAGTTAAATAACTGAAAGGATGTGTAGAATATATCTGAGACATTTCGCTAGTCGTTATAAAATCATTTTGCTTCTATCAGAATAATTCAATTCCTTCCAAGCAGGGGCATTCAAAACCCACTTTCAAATTTTATTTGAAATGAAATTTGGTAGAGGCTGCAGGACCTTCGTCAATCACTCTATTTCCATGTCAAGAAATGCTTGACCTGCAACATTTGTGCATTTTAGAGGCATAGAAGCAGGGCTAATAAGACGTTGGAATCTATGTACTGAATGTATTACTTGGACCCACAGTTTAATATGAGCAGCTACTGGTAGGGCAGTAGGAGATGCAACAAGGCCCATGCGATTGCATCCTCAAGTACTCCTATTAGATAAATTAAGGGAAAACATTTATTTCTCACCTTATCTATGAAGGAGGCAAATTTGTTGTTGAGTGTCTTGATCTGCTCCCCCTCCTCTTTACGGACTCTTTGGATGCTGGGGTCAATGTCCAGGTGGAGAGGTGCCAGCAGGTTCTGATTGATAGTCACTTCTTGGATTCCACCAGGTGGGCAAACTGGGAAACCAGCGCCACTTCTGCTGCCTCCATATCCAGTTCCGACGAACCCAAAGTTTCCGCCACCAAGCCCGTATCCACCACCAGCGCCACCACCGAACCCATATCCACCCCCAATGCCACTGGCATAACAGGCACCACCGCCAACAACTGAGATCCTCTTAGATCCACCTAGGCTGTATAGGCTTCGGCTGCCAAAGCTGCTGCCGCCAACAACTCTACCCAAACCACCACCAACGCCGCAGCCTCCAGTTCTGGATACAGCGCTGGAGCTGAAACTGGTACGGCATGAACCAGGAATGACGGCAGATGAATTACTGAAGCCTTTCCTCTGGATCTTTACGGAGGATTGATAAGCCATTTTAGCTGGAATGCTGCAAATGAAAGAATGAAGAGGCAGAAGGGGAAAGAGAGTACACGGTGGAAGCAGCCGGGAGCACTTGTATTCTCTAGGACTTAAGGGCTCTTCTTTTATTTACATTGTCCAGGAAGTGGGATTGGTTGTGAACGATGTGGATCATCTTTCTGATTAATGGGGCTGGGCATGCCCTGCGGCTTTTGGAGGGGTGACATCACCCAGCCACACACACCCATATCAAAAGGTGGGGGGGATGTGTGTGACAGTATAGCAATTTCACTTCTAAATGAACATTACTGTACCATTTGGAAATAATGATCACCTTCCCTGGCCTTCACCACACTAATTAGTTCAATTTGTACTCTCACTGGCAAGCAAGAAAGTAGACAGGCTTTCCAGTGAAATCAGGTGGCCCATTGCCCAATCTCCTCCCAAAAATTCAAGGCAAGGATGGACATGCATACTACCCAATGCACACGTCCTGGGAATTTTTATAGTTCCCACAATGTTTTATTTCTTTTGCAAAATGTATATCCCACCTGTCTGCCCTCAGATAGTCACTCACTTGATCACTTTCAAATACCAATTTGTGAGCCCAAAGGCTTGGGTCCATTGGAGCTTTTCCACAGATGCCAGGATTTACTCGAGTCAGGGGTTTTTTTCCCCTTCTTTTTTGAAAAAGAGGTGCCGGATTTCTCAAGAGGGAAATGAAGCTTTCGGACTGCATACTGTCCTGATCATTTAAACATTTTTAAATGAATTTTGTCTCAGAGGTTCCAGAACTCTGTTCCAGCGTGTTCCACCAGAACAAAGCCCTGATTCCAGCAGAGTGCAACTTTCTTTCATCCCTCTCCCATGGCAGCCTGAAATGCTCCCTAAAACTGTGTACCTAAGAGGTCCTGAGGAACAGCATTTTGTGCTGCCACAAGAAGGAGAGGCAAGGAAGTTGTACTCCATGGCAGGAAATTCTGGCCCAGTAGCAGAACGCCAGTGGATCTGAGTTTGATTTCTCTTTGGAAATCGCCTGGTCTCTTTGCCCTTCTTTGGCCACCCACCTGCCGCTACTTGGAAAACTATTCTACAAATAGGATGCATTGTTCACCTCCTCATAAGGCATGCAAAAAAGAGGCCCTTCCAATTGAACAAGACAATATTTCTATAGCATGTTTTTTTAAAAAATATATTCTTGGTTGGGCCCAGCATGCTGTTAGAATGGGCTGCTAGGTGTGGATTTTCCCTGCTTTCCCCTCCGCTCAGCAGTCCCTTCCAACCTTGGGGACACAGGCCCAATCTGCATCTAGCATTTGCTCTGCTGTTTTACCAAACCCAGTCTGGAACAGAAACTTCCCCTCTACATTACATGGCACTTTCTCTTTGATTGATTGTCGGATTTTATGGCAGTGTCCAGACTGCATGACCAACTTTCACTTCATTTGTTCCCTCGGTTTTATGGTAGCCATCTGCATAGATTTATGGCCATTTTATGGCCTTTCAGGGGTGACCCTGCAGTCAGTATGGCATTGGCCTGGGGCATCTGAATGTAGTTTTGAGCCACATCTTTTTTTGTGGGTTTGGTAAAACAGCGGAGCAAATGCTAGACACAGATTGGGCCACAGGGACACATGAAGCTGCCTTATACAGAATCAGACCCTTGGTCCATCAAAGTCAGCATTGTCTACTCAAGACTGGCAACAGCTCCAGGGTCCCAGGCAGAGGTCTTTTTTATCACCTACTGCTTGGTCCTTTAATTGGAGATGCAGGGGATTGAACCGGGGACCTTCTGCATGCCAAGCAGATGCTCTGCCACTGAGCTGCAGCCCCTCCCTTAAAGTTGACCCCTGGCCCGGTTCTGGGACCCATGTTAGGTAATCCCTGTGTAGGTTAGGAGGCTGCAGTGAGGAAAAGAAAGGAGTAAAATTATCCTGCCTGCCACTTCCTTCAGTGGAGCAGTGCTGATGGAAGAGGGAGGAGGGAGGGAGCTCGCCCTCTTTCCGCTCCTCGCTGCAGCCCATCAATCTGCTTTACTATCACTCCCCATGCATCCCACTTCCCTAGAAATCACCTTTCCTGGGGTTAGAAGAGGCTGCTGCAGGGAGAGGAAAGTGGGGCAAGATTTGTGATCATTATGTGAGCAGAATGTTGCACCCAGCCCTCTGACTCTACAAATAGCCAGTAAGTATCAAATAACAAATTCCATTGTTGATATCTGATGGTTTCTCAGTAGCTGTCAATCAATACCTTCCACTTTATTTGCAAGCCGCATTTATTATCTTTTGGCCAGTTTGGTGTAGTGGTTAAGTGCGCGGACTCTAATCTGGGATTACCGGGTTTGATTCCCCACTCCTCCACTTGCACCTGGCTGGATGACCTTGGGCAAGCCATAACGCTGGCACAGCTGTTCTTGAGAAAGAGCAGCTTCTGTCAAGAGCTCTCTCAGCCCCACCCACCTCACAGGGTGTCTGTTGTGGGGAGGGGAAGGGAAAGGAGTTTGTAAGCCGCTCTGAGACACCTTTGGGTAGTGAAGGGTGGGGTATAAATCCAATCTCTTTTCTTCTTCTTCTTAATATTATTATTATTTACTTTATTTATGTTCCGCATTCTCCCCAATGGGGACCCAAAGCGGCTTACATCATTCCCTTCTCCTCTGTTTTATCCTCACAGCAACCCTGTGAGGTAGGTTAGACTGAGAGATTGTGATGAGCCCAAGCTTCTATGTCAGTGCGGGGATTTGAACCTGGGTTTCCTAGATCCTAATTTGACATTTTAACCACTGCACCACGTTGACTTTTAGTAAATGTTCATTCGTGTCACTGGTCAGGAGACTTCCCGTTGAATGGGAAATGGGGTTATGGGGATCATATTTAAAATGTTTATGTCAAGTGTTCATCTTGATATTCAAGTATTAATGTTATGTCATAATTAAGAATCTGAACTGCAAACCTGGAAAATGCTTAGAATACTGAAATGTTTCATTTTAGCTTTCTGTAAGTGTTCAGTCCCACTTCAGTGGGAAGGTAACAGCGTTCCGTGTGCCTTGGTGTTTAGTCATGCTGGCCACATGACCATGGAAACATCTTTGGACAGCGCTGGCTCTTCGGCTTTGAAACGGAGATGAGCACTGCAAACCTAGAGTCAGATTCGACTGGCTTTCGAGCAAGGGAACCTTTACTTTTAAGTGTTCAGGAGTTATTCTGATAGGGGGTTTGAGTTTCCTCTGTACACAATGTCTGACTTCTACACAACACTGGCTCACAGGAACCAAAGAAATCTTAGCTGATTAATCACACAAGTTTTAAGGGATGACTCAGTTAATTAATCAGTTCAATTCTGCTTAATTCTGCATTTGAACAAAAAGAAATGCTGAAGAAAAATACACACTTTCTTTGTTTTTAGAATGATGCATTCCTGAGTCACATCAGATCCTGTCTTGGAGGAGATGTTCTGCTAAGGTGGAGTGCCTTTTCGAAGATGGTGTGTACCATCTGCTGTTTTAATAAGGTTTAGTAATAAAATAATTATGTTTTAAAACATAATGTGCTGCTTAATGACTTGGGAGCAGGACACCTTTTAAATTTATCAAAGGCAGGGCTGATGTCGGAGGTTGACATTTTTTGGGCAGCTACCCAATCCTGACAGCTCCAGGAGGGCCCTATCGCCAATCCCTCTTCCCATAGAAGAAGAAGAAGAAGATGAAGAGATTGGATTTATACCCCGCCCTTCACTTGGAGTCTCAGAGCGGCTTACAAACTCCTTTCCCTTCCCCTCCCCACAACAGACACCCTGTGAGGTGGGTGGGGCTGAGAGAACTCTGACACAAACTGCTCTTTTTCAAGGACAGCTGTGCCAGAGCTTGTGACTGACCCAAGGTCACATCAGCAGGTGCAAGTAGAGGAGTGGGGAATCAAACCCGGTTCTCCCAGATTAGAGTCGGCACACTTAACCACTACACCAAACTGGCTCTCTATCAAGAAGAGGATGATGGGTAAAGGAAGAGGAGGTGACGGGAGCAGTGGTAACCTTGGGTACAGCATCAAAATGCATTTTCTCCAGGAACCCCACAAACCTGGAGTTGCCCCCAATCAAATGTTTATTTAATCAGTTTATTTAATTCACCAACAATTCCAGCATGGCTGCCCCACGTGTCTTCCCCAGCCCCGGTAATCTTGAGGAACCGAAACCCTCTCAAAGGCCTTGGGGGGGGGGGGATATCAAAAACTCTCGAAAGGGAGAAATTAATACTCAACAGAAAGGAGAATCATTCATTCAGGTGTCTGTGGAATCACCTGGGAGGCTTTCCTTGTTGATGGCTGTGGACTTTTTTTGCTATGAAGAGAGATATGTGGGTATCATTGCAGCACCAGCATTGTAGCACCAGCGGTTCGAAAGCGCCATTAATATCAAAATAAACGCAAGTAGATAAATGGGAACCTACCTTAGATGGTAGGGGGCACCCTCCCCCATCGTGGGGGTCGTGAGAGGGCCGGAGCTCGGCGGACGGTGAAAGCAGCGAGCGGTGAAAATGGCGTCCGGATACATCGGTGGCGAAACCAGACGGCGGTGGAGAAGGCGGAGCCGGGACGACGCGCGAGCGTGGCGGCACAGGCAGGGAGGAGACGCGAGGACAGAGCCATGGCCGAGCATGCTGCACGGCCCCTCCACTGGGTGCCAGTAGGGATGTCCCCACCCCTAAGAATTGTGGCCATAGGTTAGGGATAATGAATAACTGTAGCCGCTCAGAGACCCCTTCGGGGGTTAGAGCGGGGTAGCAAGCCAAATAAATAAATAAAGAAAGAAATAAAACTTAGGCAAGGTGCCAGGAATGCAAACAGTGTAAGCTTTGAATGCTTGGCTTTCCCTTAACTTCAAAGACATCTTTACATTAGGATTCCTTGCAGTTTGGAAACTTGAAATACCTAAAGAACTAGTAATCCAGGATGTGCCCGGTAGAGGGTGGGCAGGGGGGGGGGTCACCTTTTTCAAAGATGCATGTGCAGCACTTCAGCTTCCCAGATTGTTCAAGAGGAGGCTGAATCATGCCAAATCTGTTTATACAAGCCGTCTCCTTCCCAGA